ACACACACACACACACACACACACACACACATAGGCACAGCACATCCTCGTTGTTTTTATACTCCCTATTTTTGTATTAATTATGTCGTCGTTGTTTATTATTATAAAATAATATACAGATTAAGTAAACGCGTTATCGGTCGCCGCCGGTTCACCTGTGCCGACTTAATTAACACGGCCGCCGTGACATTTTAGTTGTGTACCGTACCTATTCCAGTCAACACGGCGCGCGAAAAAATATTATTATTTTGTGTGGGCGCGAATCGCCACATTTTTATATTTTGTGTGGGCGCGAATCGCCACATTATATTATATTTTGTGTGAGCGCACATTATTTTATCATTATATTTTTATTATTGTATTGTTACGGCATAGTGTGTGTGTCAAATACTATTAATTATTATTATTATTGTTATTAAATTTTTCTAGTTTCTGTGTGTGTGTGTGAGTTTTTCTTATATAGCTAGGACCAGCTGGCCAGACTGCGCTCCACCAAATTGTGAGTTTTTATTATTATTGTATTTATTTATATTAATCATATTATAGTTATTAGGCCAAAGGGGCTATATATTATATTTATATTTATCAATTTATATGAGCTCATAGCAGCATCTTATATTACAATTTATTTCTCTGTGAGGCAGAAGAGCTACCTTCTATATTGGCTGATAGTGACACTTAGGCAACTATTTATTGCCTTTTATATTATTTTTTTACCTGTTGGGCCAGGAGGGCCATATTATTGTACTTTTTAGACCCTTCGATTGCTGTGTATTATTATTTTATATTGTGTATTATTTTGAATCTGTGTATTATACAGCAATCTATTCTACCAACAACCGTGTTACCATTTTATTATTAGTTTTAAGCACACACCCACACAAATACACACTTACACATCCACCGCATACTAGCACTCTTTTGTTTTGCTCGGCGAACGCGTCCACTTCTATTGAGCCGCTATACCTATTTACACACAATCTACACAGGTCGGTCGGTGTGTGAGTATAAATATACAGCGTACGAAGTATCTGGTGACCGGGCATCACGGCCTATTATTGTCCGTATCCGGCCCGTACACCTATGTTATTGATGTTCTTTAGTTTATTAGGACTCTTTTTGAGCAATTATCTATACACATAAGAAAATAGTTATTCAATAATTTTTTCAAAAATTAATTTCGATAAATTATGTTTTTCTCAGACAAAAACTCGAAAATTTCTCAATGTTTTTTGTACCTACGTCTTAAGTGAATAAATTACTGTTTTTTAAAATTTATAACAGGTTTTATTTTCGTATAGGTGTCATTTGAGAGTTTTAAGATTACCCATTGCAGATGATAAAAGTTAACAGGAAAGTCAAAATAATTTTTATTTGCGAGTTTTATGATATTTGATATTCACCCAATTTATTCTCAGTGCAGGAAGATTTTCTTATTTTATTGTAATTCAGAAAGGAATGACCGCGGTAGTGTCATATATATTGTAGACAGTCGTCAAAATAATATTGTTATACGCATATATACATATGTAATTTGAATTGTAAATTATTAACATAGGTCAGTGAAGCTAGACATGTTGAGGTGACATAAAAAATATTTCCTATATAATAAACGTCACCAGACACACTGACGGGGGGAGACCCGTTGTCGCTGAGTGAGTCGGCGAGAACGTGATGGCCGATGGGTAGTACGACGATTGTGCGTGTGAAACGGCGATCGTAGTACGACCTATAGGCAATCTGGATTCGCTAAGTGTCTTATTTATGTTTGTTTTAATTTAATAAAAATGTTTCCGACCTGAAAACCCCAATCGTTAGTGGCGGCTCGTCAGGGAAGACTTTGAGACGGCGACTCCCCATAATAAAAAGTAGTAACAAAATAAAAAAGTTTGAAAAAATTGTAAGTATTATAATTGAATATTTTTATCCATTTAAAAAATAATGATAATGGTTTTCGATATTAAAATTAAAATTAACAATATAATATTTGTTTTCTATTTTTACATTAATTATGACTTATGAGAATATGGGTGTCATTCAATAATAATACGGGCGAAAAATATCGATAACGATGACGGTTGCTAGTTTTAAAATAAAACAATTTAAATTTGTTGAGCGGTTGGACCGCTGCGGCTCAACCGCTATGTGTGGCCCGACACTCAATTGTGTATCCAAATTTCATATGTACGACAAAGCTGAGATKTTATTCAGTACATACAATAATTTATAAATACACAATTATTAATTACTCTGCAAAATATTTTTTTTATCATACGCAATTAAAATTCATATCATATCGAAATGAATTTCTAACTCTCGGAAAAGATTTTGGACTGTACAATGCTATGAAATATTACACTTAATTTCACATAGACAATAAAAATTTTATAAAAATTTTCCGAATTAAACATATCAAATAGTTATGAATGGCCTACCTCCCATGTAGTCGCTTGTTTATTGATATTGTCGATGAAATCTTGTTGCAAAAAGTATGCTTGTTCCGTCACACAAACGCTGACTAATATCACGAACAACAGCATCAACACCCTAGCCATGGTTGCAACTCTGTCGTTTTAAATTTATTATTTAACAAAGTTAGATTGAAACTCAACTGTTGCTGTGCAGTAGGTAGTACAATAAATTTCTGTCTCTAATGTTACCATTTATATAGGGAGATAAGTTTGAACACTCGAATTGTATAATCGATAATGTATATAAGTCATAAGATTCTCTAAAATTTGTATGAAAAGATCCCTAGAGTTTCCATATATAATAATTCATCAAACATTATTTTACTTACACTTATCGTCTTATCTGGTTCGTTTGAAGTATAATTATTGCGAAATCAAGAAAATATTTAATTAAAAGGTTTCAAGTATAATAAATACCATACTTTACTATAGAAAGAGCATTACTTATATTCGTTTATTTATAAGTTTATTCCTTTTAATCTAAAGTTTACCATAAATAATAAAGGTATTCATTTTTTAGTATAATTAATTAATTGAACACATAATTTGTTTAATTAATTTAGATTATAAAATTAAATATAAATTCAACTGTTGCTGCTCGTATGGCGCAGTATATAGTATACTTCAATCTCTTATGTTTACCACTTATGAAGGTAATTTTAACTCCCAAATTTTACAGTCGATAACGTATAAGTCATAAGAATTCTCTGAAATTTGTACGAGAAGATCTTTAGAATAAATTATCATGTTATTCATAAACCAATATTTTTCATACACTTATCTTCTTATCTGGTTTGTTTGAATTTATTTCCGTTTTACTATCTTAAGTTTGTCATACTTTAATGCAAAATATTCTTGTTTATAATATAGCTATTTGAAAAATTTCAAATTCCCACGAATAATATTTTTAAATCACATCAAAATAATTCAACACATTATTTTTCGTTTAAGAGGACACTTTACACTCGCATGGGTTGTATTCGTCTTATTTTTAATAGGTGATTTAAACTGAAGATAATTATCCAGACAACCTAATAAGCTTTTTATCATATTTTAATTTTAAAGCGGGTTATGTGTATTTTAGGATGTAAAAACTATTTACAATTTTAAAATACTCATAACTCGCTTCAAAATCAAAATATGATAAAAATCCTATGAGGTTGTCTGGATAATAATCTTATTACCTTTAAATTTTATTAGAGATCAATTTTAAGCTAACGAAGCTAAACGTATCTGCTGAGCGTAAAATTTGTTTGTTACACACTTGTAAGACGAACATAACACAAGCGGGTGTAGCGTGCTCTTAAAGTCTTAAATATCTAATTTTGTCCAATTTTGTACTTAAAAGGTAAAATATGTATATTTTAAACAAATCTATGTTTACTGTGTTGTCAACTACCTATATCTAATACCATTCAAAATTTACCACCTACAGATTTTTGTTCTTATTTGCATTTAATTAAAAATAATGTAATTATTTAACAATAAATTATTATTAATTCAATAATTAAATAAGAATTAATAATTTAATAATTTAATGATTTATCTTATTAAATCATATACGAGAATGTGCCGAGTGCTGCGAAAAACATAACAGCCAGTGTTTCATATAGCGTCGGAAACAACCAACGGTGTATTTATTACGTACAAAATGAGAATATTTTAAATATTCTCTAGCATAGGTAAGTATGTTAAAAATAATTTTAAGAAATCTAAAATTTGATGATAAAAAGGAACCGATAAGTCAATATGATGTTGTATATAGAGGACAAATGTTGATTGTACCTATTCCTTGATTATAGGACTCGTGACATTTGATAAAACTTACGTCGTAAGTAAAAGCTACACAAAAAAAATCATTAAAATTTACAGTTTTAAGTTTTATTAAAATTTATATATTATAAACACCTACTGTTCTTACTTTTACATTTGATAATAGAAAAATTAATAATTTTGATATTAAAAAGTAAAAACAGTAATGACAACTAGATTTTAATCTAAAATTCAAAGTGACTGAGTAAAACGTATTGTTCTGAATGAATAGTTTGATTCGTTTATCGTTATGCGTTAGGATGACCACACGTCAAGCCGGTATAAAAATCATAAGTCATGATGTCCTCTAGACTATAATGTTGACCGATGTCATATGGTTAGAAAGATTTATTTAGGTGTATAGGTACTTGAATAATAATAAATTATTAATAATAATATGATAATTGAGTTTCAAATTTCCTAAAGGAATCATTTAATCATTATAATTTTCGAGAAATATAGTAAGTACCTACCTATATATAGAGGGAAAGAAGTTTCTTTTTGAAAAAATTATTTTGTACAAATTACTTATGTGTGTACCTGTAACTTTATTTTTATGTCATATAATTTAGTTTATAATGCTAAAATATTAATAAAAAAAAACCTGCCTCGAATGTACATAAACACAATACCTAATATATATCTACACAACAAGTGGCTTAAGGCTTAAGGGCAAAATAAGATGTGATACTTAGTTAACGCATTTCCTTGACACGCATGCGTGCTGGACGTATCGTCGAACGGGTAACCGTAGGCGTACGGACAGGCTGACTTAAAGTATGATGCCGGRTAGTTCTTGGGCCACGATCTTCTGTTACAGGTGTTCGGGGTGGTGTAGACACCGTGGCAGCAGTCGGAATTGGTGTTGAACAACGAACAGGCACTCTTGCACGCCAACGCGCCCGAGCCAACGGTCCCCTTGACCGCCAGTTTGGCCGGACATCTGGTGTTCAGGTTGGCTACACAGTCGGCTGGCCGGCAGTTGGTGTCGTTTATTATGGACGGCGAAAACGGGTCAGGCCGGATTCTGATCGGCAGGTTGAAGCCATCCGCCAACGACACGTGGTAGAAGTCCACTTCATCGATTTTGGACTACTCCAACTCAGCCACGGACAAGGGTGGAGAACCCATGGTCCCTTTGAATTGTATCTTGTTTCCTGCATCACGAAATCATAGTGCGATTAAATATAGAAAATTAAATCACACACATGGGTGACATTAGAAAATATAACATTCAAATGTATGCTATACTATATACAATTTACATTATAGGTACGTCACATAGATGCCGAAAAAGAAATGTTAAGTCAGGCGAAATACGACAATAATATAGGAGTATATCACGCTTACTCATCCAGAATCCAGTAAAATCAATAAACTAAGGCGATTAAAAAAAAAAGAAAATATTTAAATAAAAGTCACGCGTGTTGCGGACACAAATATTTCCCTTCACCACTTCTTCAGAACTTAGGACAAACTACCAAAAATTGGTAGGTGGGGTTAAAAATATTTGTGTCTTGTCAAAGAGCAATCGTTATTTTAAAAATTGTTAAATGCTTTTTTTTTATAAAATATCTATAGATTATTGTAATTATTTATTTATTTATATATAATAATTGATAAGTTTAATAGGTTTTAAACTGATAAAACATATTTTTTGACAGTCATCTCAAAACCACCAGCACAATCCTAATGCTGATAAATAATCAGTCCAATAATGTCATTCGTCATTTGTATATACCTAGGTTATGTCTATTATCTTCTGTTCTTATTGAACAGTAATTTCTCAACGTTTCGCAATTAGTATGTTACCATTTTAGATTTTGTCCACAACTCATATGGTGATACTGAAATAAAAAATGTATTCTAAAAATGCAGCGCAAGTGTCTATGAATTATATTTAAAAGAAATTTTTAAAAAATATTGATTAGAACAAAAGTTATTTCTTTTGTCAGAATGTCAGATCTCTGTGGGACACCCTGTATGGTGTACCTATAATAATAAAATCATAAAAATAAATATTTTTTTGTCTATTTGGTATACCTATTATTATGAAATAATGCTATTAATAAATGTTCGTGATGTGTAATCGTCACACGTAAACAAAAGTACCTACTATACATTTTAATTTTAAGTCCAAACGCTCTATTATTAAACTGGTATTTATACAGACATGTCAGTCTAGGATATATTATATTATATTATATTACCTAGGTATATTTAAATTATAATATATTTTATACGCAACTCATAAATATTTTATAAGAACATTTTTAAATAAGTGCATGTTAAAATCTAATTATTTTTTTTATTGTATTTATTTTAATAATATGTGATGTATAAACTATAAATTAGGTACTATAATTTACCTAACGAAAATATTGATATTTAAAAAATTGTAAAAAATCAGCCTTTTGACTTAAATAAGTGTTTTTACCATATACATTTTTCTGAAAATCAAATTTACAAATTTGCTATATTGAATATTTCGAAGAAAAAAAATTATCAATTTTTAWGTTTTTTATTTTCAGTATTAAAAAATAAAAATTTATTCTAAAAATGTAGCGCAGGTGTCTATGGATTATATTTAAAAGAAATTTTTAAAAAATATTGATTAGAACAAAAGTTATTTCATTTGCCAGAATGTTAGATCTCTGCGGGGGGCAATAAGCATTCTGTACATGAGCTCGGCATCTATATTAAAATCAAGCTCTACGATTGGTTTATTTGAAAATGCCGCCAAATAGTTTATTGGCGGCAAAAACTCTTAGAGAGTAGGAATGCCAGGAGAAGAAGAAGAGAAGAATAATTTATTATTACTACAGTTATATTAGTTATAAAATAGTCTAAAAAAACTGTAAGTTGTATAATGTACACAATATCTAACGTGAATACGTCATGTTAGCAGATAGGTAGAACAAAATATTGCCCAAATTTGGATTTTTTAGAAATCAACGATTGTAAACTAATTCATTTGATCACAGGATTATTACTAATTCTTATTCTAAAATCTAAGGAATCTATCTACCAAAAAACGAACCAAAATCATAAATTAAAAAACTAATATTGTATTTTGAAAAAAGTACATAAATTAAACGTCTATTCAAATTAGTTGTTCTTTATACGTTTGAAGACGTTATTGTTAATTTTGTTGGTATCAAAACTATATTATTTTATTTTTCCGGAATTGATCACAGATAAAAAATAATAAAATAACTTGAACTAATGTTCATATTTGGTCAGTAGTTTTAGTTAAAGTATAGCTCTATGGAGTTCAATAAGCGGTTAGAACTATATCAAAAACATGATTTTGTTTGAAAACTTGAGAATTGAAAATTGTATTCAGTAAAATACAACAGAGTGATTTTGTCAAATAAAAATGTAGGTACTTGTATACAACAGTTATATAACATGATTACTACCATCGATGAGTTATTACATTTAGGTAAACCGAAAAACAAAGTATACGACGTTATTACAGCACCCTATCGGGGGATTTGGTTTTGCGTTAAAAGGAGAAAGGTACAAATTTTTTTAAGGAGGGTACAAATGGATACAAATCAGGTACAAAAAAATGAGATACGTCCGAAAACGATCGGTTGACTCCTGGTGGTTCCGGGTGCCAGGACGACGTCGTATCAGTACCCGGACAGGGGATTTGGTTTTGCGTTAAAAGGAGAGGGGTACAATTTTTTTTAAGGAGGGTACAAATGGATACAAATCGGGTACAAAAAAATGAGATATGGTAGGGGATGAGGTTTTGATGATTTACGGGTGCCTCATTTTATATACTTGCAGATAAAATTTTCTTCTAAATTATTTATATAGACATTTGAAACTTTCAATCTTTTTAGTTTATTTTTTATAAATTACAGTGACATTTTATTCGTTAGGTAAAAATGCTTCAAAATTTAATACAAGGCTCCTAATACATTCTCACAGCGGTAGTTGAAAAATATTAAAAATACATTGTCACCATTTTTTGTTAATGAGCATTGAAAATTTGAATTTTGATAAAATACGTAAAAATCACGATGATGTGCAAGTTAAAAATTCATGAAAATTTATCTTTTTAAATCTAAAATTTGAAAATTTTATACAAGATTTTTCATTAGTTTGTCTACTTTTATCGAATAAAAAATTTCTACCGGAAAGTCAAATTAAATTTTTATAAGCATTTGAATTACAAAATTAGATATTTACTCAATTTCTCTTGTWCCGATATTCTTATTTTGTTGTTATTCAAAAACGAATAACTGTAGAAAATTGAAATTTACACCAAACGTTTATTTTATCGATTCCTATATTTGATAATATTTTTAAAGTATTTCGACAATTTATAGACATTTGAAATTTCCGTTTTTTACTTTTTTATTTTATAAATGTTTAAGATATGTTTTTGCACCTGCAGACACTGAACTTTATACTTATTAAAATATAATACACTTATATTATAGAAAAAATTAAAATAAAATAAAATTTTTTAATAAATGTCAATGAGTAGTGACTAATATTAAACATATCTAATGTGTTCGACAGTAATTACAATATACATCAACGATAAAAATATCAAGATTCATTGAGCACGTTTGAAGATAATTTAAAATTTAAAAAATTAATGTTATGATATACATTAGTTAAACAAATTATGAGTGTTCAATTAATTAATTTTACAGAAAATGAATACCTTTATTATTGATGATAAACTTTAGACTAAAAGGAATAAATTTATAAATAAATGATTAGGTTATGGCTCTTTCTAGTAAAGTATGGTATTTATTATAAGTGAACAATAAACATACATAGGTATAACATAATATGTATACATTTAGTGAAAATATTTAACTTACATTGTATTAGACTGTTTTTGATAATTTTACCTACTAATCATATAACATTTAACAAAAAAGGCAAGTGTGAACTTCAGCCCAAGTACATCAGAGGAACATAACATAAAACTTTTGTGGTCAAAAGGAGTACAAACTCCAAACAAAAATAATATCAAAATGTACAAATTTAACGATGAAAAATACTCATACGGCAAAATTCCGAGATTCTTTGACGCTAGGAAAAAATGGAAACATGTGACACGATCGGAAGAGTCCGCGACCAAGGAAACTGTGGATCGTGTTGGGTGTGTACAGACGTGGATTGTTCTGCGGGTCAATGGATTGGACATTAATTCTAAACGAATAATTATTGTACTTATGTATTTAGGCGGTGTCCACGAGCGGCACGATCTCGGCTTTTGCTGACCGTTTGTGCGTAGCAACAGACGGAGATTTCAATAATTATATTTTGCGCCGAAGAAATCACTTTCTGCTGTCATATGTGCGGCTTTGGATGTCACTGTGCAATCTAAGTTACAAATCGTTGCCGCTATGTTAAGTTTCGATCACATAAAAATATTACGAAGTATCAATAATGCAATATTGTAAAATTATTCCATAAAAATAATATCTAATGTATCATAAAGTAACATTATTTAAATATTTTAAGCGTCATACGCATGTAATGCTACAAATGAACATTCGTGAAATG